GCTGTGGGGGAAAAAGGTAGGCACAAATCCTGTTGGCCATATCATCTTTACCCATGTCCTCACAAGCAATTTGCCCTATTCTTCATCCCACATATGTATTTACATAATTTTAACTAAAGTGCTCTATTTAAGCAGGCAAAACTCAGTGCAGCTGAAACAGATAATTTCATATCTGCATGTGAAATGTGCGGATCCACACAGCTTCTCACATGTCTACAGATGACAGTTTCATTTTCAACATATGGGCTTGAAAATATCCATCCCCTGTAGAACAGTACTTTCTTGTCCAAGCTCTCTAACATACCTATATTGGCAGGAGTAAGATGCTGCCACTATATTTTAGGCTGCCTGGAATTCCAAGCAAACATTTCCCTCATTATTTTCTCTGCACTCACAAAAGGATGAAGCACTGCTGCTGAGCAGTATGAAGGACTTCACACTGTTGCTGCTTGTTCAAATTTAAATCCAAAAAGACTAAGTAAAGGAAAATTTGTGATAAGCATTAATGCAAATTTTTTCTCATGAACATTTACCTGTTCTCTTATCAATATTCATATCATTGGGACACACAGGAAAGTCTGTACACAGACTAACTTGCTGCTAAGGAGCAGGTTAAAAAAGTTATTTTCCAAATAAAACCTGAACACACAAAAAAGTATTTCTATACTCATTTCATAGCCAGGTGTGTGCCAGCAAGTTTGATTAGCTACATAGACAAAGCAAGCTAAGCTCCTTCCAGACAATCCTCCAAAAGAGGAAGAAATTAACAGTCTATTTCTGGGGGCTCAAATCTCTTTTCTCTATCCCTTCTTAAAGTAGCGTCTTTGAAAAAAACAGTGAATAAACTCAGTCATCCTACACGTCATTGTAAAAAGATGTTTCATATAAGGATATGAATGAAAGGAGTAGACAGTTTAAAACTAAGACTTAGAATTCTATTACAATAAGCTATTGGTAAATATGAAATGGAAATACTACTTTGCAGTAAACAAGTAAGTCCCAGTTAAACCAGTATTTGTTATTTTAGCTAATTGGAAAAAAAAATTACTGAAGATAAAGTAATGGAGTTAAACTCACCTTAAATTATTCTGCTGACTTGATGGAATGACATTTTAGTAAACTGGCATTCCTGCTGCTGGCAATCCTTGATTTGACTGACTGGGAATTAAAACCGGCTGCTGATATGTCTGCTGGGGCATGGCTTGGGAACCTTGAGGCATGGAAACCTAAAATTGAGAGCACATTAAGACTTTCTTCTGCAGACAAAGTTTTCTTCTGCTTCCTGATCATTACCTGGCTATATAAGCATTTTAACTTTCTATATAAGAAATATATACATTATTTAAGAAATATACACTTAGCAAGTGTGGATTTAACATGACATGAAGACCGATTTGCACTGAACTTGTGCACTGCAACACAAGAGATGTGATTTTATAAGGACACTGCTCAGAATGGGGTTGCCATAGCATGTCTCCTACCCTTCAAAGTTTTGTCAAAGATCAAATAAAAAATGCAGTCTTTATAGATAAGTTCTCCTTTTAAACAACTTTGTTGACAGCAAGTACAAATTGTCAAATTCACTATTACACAGCAATGTGGTTTAAAAAACAACTCCCTCCCTCCCTCCCCCAACCTGCAGAATTGTTGCTGAAAAGTTATGAATTAATTAATTACCCACCTGATAAGATGGCACTGAAGGATAAGGAACAATCACACCTTGAATTTGATTCCCAATGTTGTTGTGTTGGCCACTGACTAGATTCTGATTCTGCTGAACTCCAACTAAGCCCTGGTAGTTTTGTTGCTGGTTAGGCAAAACTTGGTAACCTGAAATCATATATTTAAATCTTATTTTGAAATAATTATATGTGATCTCATTTTGTACACAGGTGCCTATAAGAAAAAGTTTCTGTGACATTTTCCAAAGTCTATTTTTTTTTTAAATTAAACATCACAGCTTTAAAAATGGTTGAGCTTACCATAATACAAAAAAGACAACATAAGAAATTAGCAGAGTTGTTCATTTGGATCCATCTGATTCCAGCATGAAATGCTGTATGCACTACTTGCAATGCTGCTAGTATATGATGGTATGCTTACAATATTTATCTATATTGTAGTGAGTTACAGGTATTAACACCTTGATTTTATTGCTGAAAGCTCAGAATTACTTGTCCTTTAGTAGAAACAAGGCTATTTTAGGTATGTTATGCTAAATAACTAGCATCTTTGGTGCCATAGAGAGGAAAATATCTTAACAATGATTCAAGACCTAAGCACACTTCAAGGAAGTTTGTGCAAGGCATGTATGCAAGTCCTTTTAAAAAGGGTAATTTTTGTTGGAGACCATAATGCCAATAAATAAATAAATAAATAAAAACAAGCATGTACTGAGAAAATTCCTCCAGCTAAAAGTCATGCTTATATGCAGCCAAAGACATTTTTTATTCAAGACGATCTGGAAAAAAGCTCTCACATCAGGCCCTTTACAGCCTCCTCTGTAACAGTTTATTATTGCTTAAACAGGTGGCCAAATGCTATCATAAAGGCCTAAATAAAAAATAACAGTTAAGCATGGGACCAAACAGGAAATGGCATGGGTACCTTTACTGCAGTCTTGCCATTCCCACTCCCCTTTTTAAGCATCCAAAAGCTACACCGTCACCATAGACAAAATCACATACAGATGACAAGTAAAATTCTTTGTTATACTCTGTCACACATGTAGGAACTTAACTACTTATTATTTCTGCAAAACCCATAAATACCAGTGTTTGTGAGACAAGGCCAGTCACCACTCAGGAATAACAGAACTGGCCCGGTCAGGACTGTGAAGCACAGACACAGGCAGGAGGAATGTGCAGGTAATTGATTGGGACGCATTCACATTCTACTGAGCTTGATGTTCCCCGGGCTCTCTGCCTTGATATTGAGCTATATTTTAGTATAAAAAATACAGTGGCAAATACTCTTTTAAAAAAATATATTAAAAGACGCTCATTGGGTACAATGAGCACTGTGAACTAAAGTTTCATCTAACAGATCATTAACATAATCAAATATTGGCTTCAGAACATTAAAGGGAAGAAGAATCAGTTTGTTCGTTAGAAACACACAAGGCATATAGATATTTTCAAGGCATTTAACATTCAGAGCAATGCATACCTGAATCAGGATTAGTAATTAAATTCATTTTAATAAACTAATTTCAACCTGCATATAAAAAAACCTCTCCCTCTCTCAGACATATATAATAAACAAAGTATATTTTAAGAATTTTGTTACAAAGTGATCTAACACCTAGAAAGCAGGTCTAATGGAAAGCTGCAGTATGAGACAGATTCAATCAGCAGACCTGCAATCTAAAATCCTCATTTCTCAGAAACTGAAGTGTAGCTGTGAATATTTTTCAGCGTCTTCTGGCACTTGCAGACAGACATAATACATTTTGTAAGCAGAGAGAACTGGGACAATATAAATTCCCCAAGAAGGTGCCCATCAGAATTCCAAAGGCGGCTCTACTTTGAGCTTTGCAACTTCACCTCTCCACGGAAAGTGGTTTAACAGTAAGGCAGCACTCTGCAGAAAAATATGCTCCTGCTATTGTAGACTGTCTCATTATACAGAAATACCTTGAAACAGCAGCTACAGCAGCTACAAAAAGGAGCATGTTGCTTAATATTTACATAACATAAAATTCAAAACAAATCACTTAAAAGGTATTTCTATATTCCTAGGTTAACTTATGAGCAACACATTAAAAAGTAAGTTTAGTAACTTGGTTGACCATGTTATACATCTAAGGGTTATTTAACTGGCAGTCATGCATCAGAAGCTAGTTTAACTGATGTTCCCAGAACAACAGTAGTTCAGGTACAAATTTTTTATTCAGGCTACAGCTGGGTCTCATGGTAAGCAGGCCCTCAGTTTCACGAGCTGAAATGCTCTTTCTTTTCCCACTATCTTTTGGGCAAGCAAAGCATTTTAATAAAAGTCAACCCTTTAAATATCACACCTGAAACCCCTTTAAAAAGGATGCTGGGAAGCAGCTGAAAAAGAGACCGGTTCACTGTGAGAAATGTACACCTCTCAGACAGTGTTACGGCCCCGAATCCAACAGCTCAAACACAACCAAGCCATTCCACAACATTAAACCCAACATGGCTTCATTTGCCACATTTTCAGAAGCAGTTCTTTTAGCTAAATTTGTGTTTGGAAAGTTATTTAATTGTTCCTTAGCATTTTACAAGATCAAATACTGCAGTTATCAGTAAAGTATCCATCTCTCCAGTTGGTACTAGCTACATACCAAGTAACCAACAAGGAATGAAATGGACTTACTAGCTTGACCACTCTTTCACCAGTTAAGCCTAGTATCAGGATTACAGGTACAAGGTATTACTGTCAAAGTAACAAACATTGTCTGTACAGCTATCTTACTGTCTCTCTTTACTGTCCTATTTCTTCTGACATAGGTGAAGATTTTAATTGCCGATGCTTTTCATCACCCTGTCCATGATACAAGCAGTGAAATTCAGGGAAAATGTAGAGAGCTAAAAAAACATACAAAAAGACACTTACCTAATAGTAACTGACTCCTCCCTTTGCATCTTAGTGTCGATGCACCTCCACCCCATGCTTGCAAATTCAGAATTCAGATTCTTTTAGGTAGCTACACAATACACTGGGCTGCCTCTGAGTCAGAGTCCAGGAGCTATAGGGTATCCCCAGAAACAGCAAAGTAACCCCAGCTGTGCCTCAACTCTAGCCTAGGTATCAAAAATTCTGAGGAAGGAAAGCAGGTTGCAGAATGCAGATGGATAACACATCTTTAGCACAGATGGATAAAACAACTAGTAAAAAAAAAATAGCATTTTGTTCTTCTTTGAGCAATTGTCAATACACTTCCACTTCTAAAGACTGAAAAGTGGTGATCTATATTGCAGGTAGTTACAGTATTTTTAAATTATCTGACAACCCTGCCTAACAGGCATGACATCTTGATGATTCTGCAATGAAGTTATCCTGCATAAATTTGTGAACTGAGCCTTAAATAACCCAACCAAGTGTTGCTTTGCTATTGGAGCAGTATCCTAAGACTGCCACAGAAGAGGCAGCCATCCCTTCTGAACACTTTCTCATTTTGCTTCATAGAACAATTACAAAGAAATCAAGCTTATATTTGTACGAGTTGATCCGTCATCATATCATGTTAAAACATTTATTTAGTCTGGAGACAAGTTAAAAAAGTTAAAGAGTTCCTATTTTCCTAAAGGAAGCTCAAGAGGACAAGTTAAACCTAACATACTCAGCTAAGGCATGCTATAAAAGTCTGTTTTTAAGGATCTCTGTCAAGATGGCCTCCAAATATAGCTTATTACTTCTGAAAGGTTTAATTGTGAGTCAAGTTATTACTCAGAAATAAGTTTGCTTTAGGATTTCGCATTTTATAGAAAAAGTAATAATATTTTTATTTGCACAGAATCAGGATAGCAATAGCTCCAGTTAAAACTTGTAAGGAAAAAAAGTCACAATAGCAAAGAAAAAGGACTAAGAAATAAAGCTTTGGTGGCATGACAGATAAACTTTTCTACTATTTTTGAATTATTAAAAATAGAAGGAACAGAAAACTAATCATGCAAAATTGCTTTATGTACTGCTCAATACCCAGATACTTTTAGTCGCAGAGGACAGAAAACAGTTTATTCTATGTGCACTCTTAAACAGAATAATATATCAACAGTATCTTCTCTTCAGTAGCCTTTTCATGTCACAATGTTTAAAATCAACTTTTTTTTTGTTTTGTTTTGAACTTTCGGTTAAAGTACATCTCTGAAATGTTACTTCAGAATTGTTATTTAATCCTATTCTGAGAGTTGCTTAGTTTTAATTCTTCTTAATTGTTCAGCTCTACACTAAAAATAAATTATCCTACAACTACAAGAGCCATTCACATTAATGACCATACCTCAAGTTTCATGAGCAACCAACTTGAATTTTTCCACTTAAGGTTAGTTGCACACTGCATCCCCATACTTGAGTTATTACCAAAGATGCAGCAAAGTTAAAAAATAATAATAAAAAGCAAAACAAACAAAAAAAATACATAAGAACAGGAGTAAATGCACAAAAGATGTATTCTAATGAAGTACTGAAAAAACTAAAACAAACCTGTCTGCTGTCCAGGCTGTGCCAATGGCTGGTTTTGCTGCGCGTTATAATGGACTGAAGTAACGGGCCGATATTGCTGAGTGGAGTGTGAATACTGACTGGGGGTACAATAACACGCTGGCATCTAAAATAAAACAAAAACACAACCTGTAACTTCTTTGAAGTCAAACATCACAACACTAAAGGAAAAAAGAAGCAAATGGTAAAAGGCAGACACAAAACTCATTAAATGGTGCCACTAGTGCCATATGCTTCAGCCATCAAAAGTGCTTATTCTACATAAACTCCTCCTTTAATAGCTGCTCCTCTTTTGTTCTCACTGTAAAAGAAAGTTCCAATTTACTAAATTCCCTACATAGAAAATTGGCAATAACAGCTGTTCATTAACTGCTTTTAGCAAGCTCTAAAAAATCAGAGGACAAAAACCACTGTTAACTAAAGACTAGGGTTTATAACTGTAAACCAAGTAGCACCTCCGAAGTGAAAGCACAAAGCAGAGAGCCTAGAGTGGAAGAAGGAAGGAAGCTCTGTAAATACAGCAAGATAGTGTTGGGCACTTTGGACCAATTTTATGCAATGCAACATTTTAAACACCAGAAAGCCATCAACACATGAAAGACAGGAGGATATACCAAATACGCATTTGGCAGTTTTAGAATTTTCCTACTAGTAAGCAAGCTCTGAAATCAGCATGCTTTTACCAGCCTCAGGTGAATAGCCAAACCTGGATTTCTCCCAAATAAACTGAAATAATTTATTTCCAAGCACATAAGCAAAAAAAATAATGCTCCACTCTTTTTAACAAGGAGCCCTATACCATGTAACAAGCTCATTAACGGAACAGCACGATCAGTTTTTAAATACAGCTTTTGGGGAAGGGAAACAGAGCCAGTCTACCTGTGACACAGGTTGCTGCATATATCCCTGCTGCTGGAGTACCTGCTGGTTGACAGGGTGGCCAGAAGTAGAGTAGCCTGGAGTAGAAACTGCTTGGCCAGAAGGTGGTGGAGCAGCTGCAATGATATAACCAGGCTGCTGCGGGGGCTGGAGGACCACAGTGGACTGGAACATAGTGGTGTGAGGTTCAGCTGGATCAGCAGATGGCTGGCGGGCAAGACTCATATGGCTAAACTGGGATCCCAGGTTGTCTTGCTATAATAGATAAAGAAAAAAAATGTTTCAGATCTCCATGTCACAAAATATCATGTGTTAGTGAAACAGGAAAGCTTTGGAACACAGTGCAACCCAGCAGCAAACTGCCATCAGGGCTGACTGGCCGAATGAATGTTCACATGCAGACTCTTCGCTTCTAGCTTCAGATTTGTTTTATTTTTATCATATTACTATTTTGCCTCTACCTACAGTAAAATGTAAAATTATTATCTTATTGTGACAATTATGTCACTAATAATTTCCAATCGGACTCTAAAGGCTGAGTGAAGATATCTGATCCTGATTAAAAGGAGAGTTTGTATTGCTAGAGCCATTTTTTATTTTAAGAGGTTGAATCTCAAATCCTTAGCAACAAGGTGCATTAGTCTAAACTGGCATTTCTTCTACTCTGGCAGTGATGGCACTGAGCACTGCAGGCATCCTGTGAAATTTCAAACTTCTATTACTGTAACTCCAAATGCTTCTTCCTCCCTACTCCCTTTCTCCAAGCGATCAAACAGATTATCAACATCATGTAAAATAAGAGCAATCACTAGTATTATATCTTTGCTAATCTGGAAGATTTAGTTGACATTTTTAAAGTGGACTTGCCAAACACTGAGGAACACTGACAGCTTTAGCACTACCTGATCTTCTCTCAGATTGTTCTAAAGAAGATAAAAGCTCTTGCAGTGCTATGAAATTAACGATTGGGAGGGGAGAAAAAAATCATGGGAAAACTAAAAGAAACATGCAACTTCCATATTTTACAGATTATCTGAGTTCTCATTTTGTGAAAATTTTTCATTTCAAGGTTGAAATATTAATTACTGCTATAAATGCGAATTTTCACCTAAAGACCTAGGTGAAAGGTATCACCTGAAGACATGGTATAGTACAACCACAAGAAATCAAGGAAACATGGTATTACCAATAAACAGATAAACCAAACTTATTTGTTACCAACTATAGATGGGTTTCATACACATTATGAACAAACTCTTTTCCTTAAATTATAGAAGTTGTGAAACTGCCAATATGGATTATATTTAAATACATTTCTTGAATGTGTATTTCCTGAATGTGAAATATGTGAAACGATTATAAATCTGCAAGGAGGTTCATTTTCTGTTTTAACATATATATGCAATCCTTTACAGAGATTGCATATAGGCAAAATGATCATAGGCAAAACTTGCACAGAAAGCTCATATAGCCTAAGTTACCATTTTGAGAATGATAAATTATGCCAACTGCAGTTGATATATGCTCAAGCTAAGATGAAAAAAACTAAATTTATTCAAAGTAGCATGAAAAATGATGCTAAAAACAAAACACCTTGCACAAAGTACAAATTCCTTTTAAAACTGTGAACCTAAGTACAGGTAGCAAATAGTTTGTTATATGCAGATTTTTGAATGCAGATAAATCTGCATCTCTTTCATTAGAAGACATTTCTGATTAACACTGAAAATAGCAACAAAAATAACTAACTTTAAATACATGTTGTATCACTTTTTCATCAGCAGGCCAGAGCAGAGGTTTGGAAGCCAGAAAGCCTCCATCTTTTATCTGAATGCTAGTTCAGATTCTACCTTAGATAACTAGTTTCTCCTTTATTAGAAATTAGTTTCTTTCTGTATTCAGATGACTGTTTTTTTTTTGGTTTGTTTGTTTTTTTAATGTTCACAAAACACTAATGGATTTCGCTTCCAAGCAGAACCACCAGACACAAAAAGAAACAAGACAGGATGGCAAGAGGTTAATCCAGAGACACAGAAATAGGTACTGACTGATTAACAAGCCAATAGCACCGAAAAGCTGTTCCCTTAGATTGTTAAAGAAAATATTGCAATTGTATGCATTCCCATTGAACTTGAAACAAACATACATCTCAGGAACTATTTTTTATCCCATTCGGGTAATGTTTCACTGTGACTGCAAGTAGCCAGTCACTATACCTGTACCACAAACCATTTGCAAACAATTAAGCAAAAATCAGCATCCACTAAAGATTAACCCGGGCGGAGATCCACAGAAGATATAGTACCACAGAATATTGCTGGGTAGAGGAGACGGGCAGGAGCGGGGGCGGATAAGAGACTGCGGAGTACTGAACAAGCTGCGAGGAAGGCTGCAGAGGCCGGAGAGGCTGAAGAAGTAACAAGTTTATAAATATGGTTAGAATCAAAGTAAAAGAGAAATGAAGATAGAGTCAAAAGCTTTGCAAACGGAAGAAAACAATTACACTCCGATCAATACCAGAAAAGGAAGGAATTCTTCCTTTTTAAATCGAAAGACCGCACAGAGAGGGGAAAAAAATAATAAAATAAAAAGCAGCCCCTTGCTGTATCTCTCCCTACCAGAAGAAATACATTTGCTTTATTTATATTAACTATAAAAATCAGCAATTTAAGGCAACAGTTCAGCGCCACAGTTACTTTTTCTTTTAGGAAGACTCTGACATCACAAATCGCATGTATTCCAAATGCAAGTTGTTTCCAAATCTTTAGAGACAAACAAATTTACTACTAACCACAGATCAAAACGTTACAAGCTGTAAACGATTTGTGAGGAAATGTCCTGATACTAAACACTTGAAAACCAGAGAGTGATAAGGAGTACAGATGAGCCTTTTTCCAAAATAAGACCACCACTACTGCAGCATATGCAGCCGATAAACAAGAATAAAGGTGTAGCTCAAATTCTAAAAATAATTTTTTGGCCAAATTTGAAGATAATCTGAATTTTATCTGAAAATACTGGGACACTATAGCAAAGAGTTTGGTGCTTAATACCTGCTAAAAGTAAAACCTTCCTCTTGCCCACCTCCATACACATTTTTTTTTTTTTGGTCTTCTTCAAGGGTTAAGGTCATCCTTGATCTGACCTACTTTACTAAGTTTCTCTAGTACAAGACAAAAAGAATGGGATACATTTTATCCTTCAGTATGCAGTTTTGTGAGCAGTGTTAGCCTAAGTGCTCACTAAAGAAGCATTCATTCATGCCCTACCAGCCCTCATGTACCTCTTTTGTGCCACCAGTATTGCTTGTACAGCCCAAGAATTCATGTGGCTGAAAAACAGCCTTAAGATAAGAGGGAAAAAGAGAGGGAAAAAAAAAAAAAAAAAGAGGAGAGAGATATACACAAAAAGCAGTTGAATTGTTTCCTACCCAGTGACCACATCACTGTTGATGTCAGGACTAGCCAGGCACTGCGACTAAGGATGATGGCAGAATCCATTTTCCAGAGCCATCTAAGATTACACTGGCTTAAACTGATCATGAAACTACACGATCAGTGCAAACATCCCTTGCCTGGGGCACACAAGTTGCACAACTGACCATCTTAGGAGGTCAACTGTTAACTTTAACTGAGAGGAGACAGTGGGATAGCAGCCAACAATACAAGTTAGCCAGAAGAGGAGAAGGCTGAAGGGCTGTCCATCAGTTCAACATGCCTGTCCTGATTTTTAACTTTAATCTTCCATGGAAGTGATAGCAATATCATGTTGCTTTCTATTGACAGCAGAAATTCTTGATAACAAAACAGGTCCAGAACACTCTTTATGCTCTGTATTCTTAAAGAGAGCCTACCTAGCCTGTGCAGTTATGAGAATAACTGATAGGCCTGACAACAGTGGGGAAGGGGGTCCAGTTACCTATGCAGTGCATAATAGTGCAGCTACTGCCTTTTTTTTTTTTTAATGATTCAGCAGAACCTACTGATGCCTTCTTATCAGACCAGCATACAATATTATTGACAGTCAATGCAAACACCACGTATTGGACATGTGCACCTGTGACAGGATGTGATTAGCTGCTGGCTGTTGCTGAGGTGGAAGGGGAAGAGGTGGCTGTTGCAGAGGTCCAGGCACTTGGGTCCTAACAGGTTGCTGAGGCATTGGAGGATTGTACACAACTGGAGTGCCATCTGGATTAAGGAATGGCTGACCTGAGAAGTTAGAGAACAAACATAGCCAAAGGAGAGAGCTGCATTATTTAAGTTTGGAGGCAATAAAGGTAAATGTATTTAAAATAGGCAAAATTAAGTTACAAAATTTGAAAATAAATTAAATCATAACTATTTTTTCACATGCTGAAGTTGTGCCATCCCCCACCAAACACACTACATTTGGAGCAGTAATGACCAAATTGACCTAATTTGACAAACTACATGCAGTTAAAAACATGAATGTTCTGGTAAAAAGAGAAAAAAAATAGGAAAAAAAGGAAAAAAAAAATACACAGACACAAAACAGTCTTTGCTTGGTGAATTTAAATAGCCATTTTATTTTGTCAGTTTTGAGAGTCTGTTTTTAATTAAGTGGTTTGAAAGAGGCAATAGTAGTAGGCAAAAGTGCTTCTTAAGTAATATTTTAAGGAACATTTAAAGACAATTAAATGAATATCCTTTAATCAGTTTGAACACTGAACAGCTCAAAGGTATTTTTTTCTTTTAATCTGTAAAATACAGTAGTTATAACTGTACTTCTACAGCTTCTAATAAGGTTACTGTTAAAGGCTTCTTTCCCCCTATCCATAAATGAATTCTCTTTTAACTTTCAAATCAAATAATGCAGTATTATTCTTTCTATTTAGTAATTTGCAGCTTCAATATTACAGTAGCGGACTAAATGCAAAAGAACCAAAAAAAAAATGCATAAAATAGATGAAGAATGATTTATTTCAGTTAGGGAAAATGCAAACAAAGAAGGTTTCCAGTGGACTGTAGTGCTCTTACAGACTTCTTCCACCATATTTAGATGCAATTGGTCTGCCAGTATAAGAGCTGTTGGGTGAGCAGTAGGGAGATGGAGGCAACCAATGCCTTCAGACGGACAGAGTCATTCAAAAAAAATCATTGCCTGCATATCACACAACTGGGTTGCAGGTGGTCAAGCTATGTTCCGTTTAACTGATTTCTCTTTAATGTCCCAAAACTGGGAATATTCACTTAAACATTACAGATTTTATTTCTTCCCATCATTCCCTGGTGTTCACCAAAACCTAACTTGCCTACTACAGGGACTGAATAAAGAATCACCTTTTCTCCATTACTGCTTTCATCTGCTGAGCAGACTGACTCTCTTGACACAAGGTCATTAGACCCTCTGTCAAAAATGCTAAAAAAAACTAATTATGCTCTTTGAACTCTTCTAATTTGGGACAATAAAGGCAAAGGAACAATAGTGAAATATAATGGACCCAAGTATATTAGTTATAATTCATAAGATTATCTGAACCTAGATGTTGTCTGCTCTGGAAAGGTACCTTCTCTTCTATTAGACAATCATTAGATATAAAATAATCTATTATGAAAGAGTATTAATGACTAGTTTAAGTTCATACTGACTAAAAACAATTCACAGCTTGAAATCAAGCTAATTTTAATGAATAACTAACCAGCGTCTACAATTCTGCTGTCTCTTCTGAGGTGGGGTGTACGTGCACATGTGTGTGCGGTACAAGATCTTAAACACGAAAAACAAATTCTTGGTCACACGTGTTTCTTTGCCCTTCCCCGCTGCAATGATGGGACTTCCACATCGCAACAGGGAGAATGGCCAACAGTGCAGGAGGAACAAAGCAAAACTAATCACACAAAAAAACATTGACAAGCATGAAACCAACTGGAAGATGACAGGAAAAAAAATATGTAAATGAAAAATTGTAGGATGTTTAAGGTGTAACCATTTTCAAGCTGATAGCATCCTTTCTAGTGTCTGCAATATGTGTCTTGTTGTGCAATAAATCTGAAGAGTTATTAGAATGCATGAGCATGCTACAAACCCAATATGAAAAATGATAGCCAGCAATCTTCATACTTGATATATTCAAAATACTCTAGCATACAGAGACCCTAGAAGTTCTTATTCATCTAGTAAAAGCTCTTCACTAATCAGTCACCACATTTGTCTTGAGATGCTTCACATGCGCATGAAGAAAAATTCATGTATAAAAAGCATGACTATCAATTTATGACTAAGTAAGCTAAGCCTACAGAGCCATCTCTAGAACCTAACTCTAGAATTAGCAAATACATTTGACTCAGAATACAGTGACTGTGAAAATTTAATGCTACAGCTGGTTATAAGTTGATAACCAACTTTTATCAGGGACAGCTTTAACTCTTGTTTTAAGACATTTGAGAAGTGTCTGCTGCATATCAATACACAGAATCACTATCTAAAATGTTATCCAATTCAATATAAACCAGCAACATTTGATTTATGTTAATGAAAGAGAATTACCTATTTCAGTAGAACTATGTATATAGTTTCAGAAGTCAAATAATTCAATAAAAGGTCTTTCTAACAATGCTGAAGAGAAAACTAATAGAAAATAGATGCAATATACTTGAATATAATGAAGTTCATCTGTAGAACTTTCAGGATTTCTGAACTTATCCAACAGAGTAAAAGTTTGATCAGGCAATGCCAACTTTTTTTTTTTTTAATCCACACAAGTAGCTCCACTTCTAGTCAGGTCTGCATCACTACAAAGAAAACTTTTTCTTGCTACTCACTAAAATTGGAGTATTGGCCAAATATGGCAATGTGTAACAGACCAACAAACAAGAGCTCAGGCACAGTATGTAAACTTGCGTCTATTTCTCTTGCATTGAGACAGCAGTGTCACAAGCATAAAATAAAAATGTATGTTGAGACATAAATGAAATGAAAGATGATAAATTCTTTCAAATCAACATGAGTACTTGGTCACGGTCCCTTTCTCAACTCACATAAATTTTATTTAATATTAGTACTGTGGAAGACTCAACTCTCCAGTCAAAAGCCCAAACCATGGCTGTTTGTCATTCTTTCTTGAAAACAGCGATGGTAGTCTCCTATTCTGTGCAAGTCAACCACTGAAATATCACATACAAATTAAAACTCTACTAGAGAAAAACAAGCAAGTTTACTTATTCTTGTTATTTTAGAGTCATGCTTTTTTAAAGTAAGTGCATTGAACAAACACTGCACAACTTCAGGAGGAAAAGACAATACTGAAATTAAAACTCACAGAGACAATTCACACATTTTTCTCTAAGTTCTCAACTGTAATAAGAAACATCCGCAAGCGGATACCAACCTGTTTGAGGGTTCATCAGAATACTGCCAGGTGGTATGCCTGCCGCTTCCAAGGGAAGCAAAAAGAAGCTAGTGCTAGTAGGTGCCACTTGCCCACTTATGCCACCATCAAAGGAAAGAGAGTGACTAGTGCTGACAGTTGGATAGACGGCCGGCGGGCCATGAGAAGGCTGGCTTAGAGCTGGCACCGGGAGAGGCTGCTGGGTGTGAGAAAGAGAACCCGTGGATGACCCTACACTACTAGAAGAGTCTGAACCTAGGAAAGGAGTAACGAGAAATTGTTTTTACCTAGTGACAAGAGACATCATGCTCACTTAAAATATATATCTATGAATGCTTATCCTTAAAGCTCAGCATATTAATACATTATTAAACAATAGTCTCTTCAATGAACTTGCCCCTCACCTCCCCGAAGTACCATTAACAAGCTTCCTCCTATAAACCAAGGGTCGATTCGTCACTGCTTTGCACTGTAAAGGGAGGCTTTAATATCTAGAATGGATATTCTGGACAGAAAAGGTATACTGGTACACCTGCAAACATACCACAGTCCAGCTCATCCATAATTCAGATGGCTGTTCATATATACCAGAATGAACCATGTGCACATATCAATCTATCCAGTGGTCTGAATTTGCAGGATTTACTACATATGCACACACTAGAACTACTGTTATGCAGAGGCCATTGGGTAATGCAGATGTGTGGGTTCAAAGCCTCTCCAGACACACCAGCTAGGTTTACATGCTCTGTAGACCTAGGCAAGTTGCACAACATCAACCCTCGTCCTCCACCTCCCTGCAAACCACAGTTTTCCTCTGAGAATTTTCAGGTTGAAATCAAGAACACAACTGGAAGAAGAATCCAGCAGTATGGCAGTTCTAGGTTAAATAGTCTTGCGTAACAATTCAAAAGTTGAAGGACTGAAATAAAACTGTGTTAAAATAGCAATTATCTTACAAATATTCTACAAATATTGCAAGGCAGTGGAGAATCAGACCCTGAGCTTTGGGAAAGCCAGTGCATGCAACGAAATGCAATCTTCCAGAAGTCTGACATGGAGAGGTCTCAAGAACGTCACTGTTCCTAGAGACCTCTCTTTGTACAATTTATCACACTCCCAAGTAGGTCTTTACTATGATACTTGCAGGATTTGGGGGACAGAAAATAATTGGTCAAATATTCTTCATCAACTGCCTCTATACAATCTAGAAGAGAAAGCAAGACTAAAAAAAAAAAAAAAAGTACTATAATGATATTTATCTACTGTTTGTAATCACTTTGCAGACCTTCACAGAAATTTGCAACTATGACCCTTTCACTTGTGTGGATGACGAGTTAGTATAGCTCAAAGCTCTTAGAGATTTTTTTTATTTATTATTTTTTTCCTTAAAATGGACTGAAACACAAACCTACAAGTTATAAACATAGCAAAATAAGGCAACCCATCCTACAACACAATCCTCACTCAACCTGAGCTACCTTGATTAAAATTTGTTTACAAATTATCCACTTCTAGATTATGTAGAGAAGTTAGGCTGAAGCCATCATATGTAAAGCCAATTACATTGTAGACCAAAATGAACAAAAATAATCAAACACATGCAAAAATCACCACAACCTTTAACTGCAGTGAAGCAACAACAACCAAAATAGGCATTCTGAACTTCAGATGCTAACTCTCAGAAGGCCGAAATAAAATTTCCAGTGAAATTAAGAAGCAATTTATGCTCTCACAGTTCAGAATAGATGGCTTTTTAAGAATGTTTTATGTATAATGTTGTCAGGTTTTAATTTGGTTTTGGGTTATGCCAAATATTTTTACACAGCTGTCCTCAGTATGAGGATACAAATTCAAAGCATGTGCAGAAATCAGTGAGGTGTTTTGCAATAAAATTTACATAAGTATACAGGTGACAAAGTATTGTTATACAGCTAGAGAGCTATTTTGCTGTATTTGGACAGAAAAGTGTGATGCTGTAATTATGAGGTAGTGGTGGTTTAAGGGGAAGCAAAAACTTTGTAAACAGATTTTCATTTGAAACAAAGTTTATAAATAAGAGCAAAGCCAAACACAATACAGCCAAGCAATCACACTCCGCTTTTTTACAGATTTACTTCATATTCTGAAACAGCACCACTGTAATCCACCCATCTCTTTCAAGACTCAAAACTCACCACAACCAAGATCTATGGCATCAAATAACTGTATTCAAATACTAATTTACTAAATTTCTTTCAGTTTGACCCACAGAGTATTTGCATCCAATTTTCTGAGGTTGTTTTGACATCAATAAGTTAGCACACCTTTGAAGCCCAGAATTTTATAAAATGAGTATTTTTCAACTTTTCTGAATCTTACAATAAAACAGTATACTTTGCTCCACTGATCCAAATTTTCAGCAATCTAAAAATTAAATAAAAACTTTTTAGCCATATTCAAGTTCCACGATGGTACTAAGAAAGAGCACAACAAATGTAACTAATGATTTACAGAATTTATTGCTTATTTTCCCCCCTATTTAGCATGGTAATAGCACAGTTTCCTTAGACTGCAGAATGCAGCTCTATCACACTGCAGTTAAGGAGTTGGTATCTAGTGCAATTTGAACGCTTAAATATATTTGTTTCATATGTTAAGTGTTTTCAAATGCTTTACATGGGATGAAACATTTAGCTTAAACCATCTGTAATTCACTTGTAATTCCTACCAAGTCTTAATTTGTAATCTGAATTTGAGCACTGTAGGCCTAAGCGTGTAGCCATGCTATGTATGCAGCACCCACTGCACTCGGAGTTGTACGCACAGGGCCCCTATGAGACTGAGGCCCCTCATTATATATATACACACACACGCACACCTGTGATACGCATTAAGTAACCAAATCATCTCATACTTCACTGCAATGTAATTATGTGTTTGTACAGATGTTCTACCTGTCTTAGACAGCCTGCCCGTGCTTTTGCTGCTTCCAGAGCTATCTCCTCTTGTCAGGACTGATATCCCACTGAAGCTGCTGGCTTTGGTTACAGCTGGCTTCAGATTGCGGCTGGAGCTATCGGAGTCGGTACTGCTCCAGGGACGCGGTTCACAGTACTTCAGCTCGTTCTCAGTACTGCTCTGATGGCTGTTGGCTGATCTCCCCGATGCTTCCTTATTGATCCTGTAAGATATAAACTAAACTTTTAGCAAAGCATCAACTGAAAAATAAGGGGAAAAGAAAAGAAAAAAGTGAAATGCATGCAGAATACGTTGGGATTTGTTTTTTGAAAGAATGCAAATACCTAAATATCTGCCGTCTTTGTTGTGTACTATTAGTTTCTTCCTCCTGGATTCTGTTGATATTTTAATAAGACAGCTTAATATTTTTTAATAAAATATAAAAACGAAACAAAACGAAACCACAAGTTTTCTTACCTTTTATCAATAATGTAATTCTCTTGGGAACACAGGGACTGAGGACAGAAAAAAGTACAGAACTTACTATTAATGGCATCTAAACTAATAGCCCCACTACACTGTACAAACAAAAAATGCAATCTAAAGTCCTCTGTATTATATATGAACTTTCTAAGCATCCTCTGTATGTTAAGCTGTCTGAAACACCTACCTCTTCAGTGAAGAATTTACACTAAAAAAATGAGTAAAGTAGGCCCACACGCAGGAAATAACAATTAGCACTAAAAAGATCACAATGCTGACCCCATTTTATCTGTAATGATATTTTTCTGAAGCTTTATTTTCTTGCATAGGACCTTCCATGTCTTATGTAGCTTCCCACTGTTGTGCGACTGGATAGTCTATATAAACAAATTAACACCACCACCCTTGCCTTTCCCTTGAAGCATGAAGACAACAAAATTGACTACTGCAATAACTGTATTCTGAACTCTTTGGGAGCAAGCACACAAATACTAAATAGTTGAGAGAGTATACAATGAGAAAGACTATTTCAACTCTATTATTAACTCCACCTTCTAACACTTGGTACAAATCTTTCTAAGTATACAATACTAAGATAAACAAGTATGAAAGGTAAGGAGAAGGTAATTTTATCTGTAAAAATCCATCCTTTTTTGTAGCTGAAGCAAACAAAATGCTTTGGAAAAATATTTGGATGTAGCAAATTTTCTACAGAATTCTTATAATTCATTAACCCTTCTTCAGAATAAGGATCTTTTTGGGGTATGTGAGAACATACAGATAATGTCAGAAAGAGTGCAGTAATACACACATTTTTTGAAATGATATCTGTTCTGTTTTAGTCAATGCTATTAAAAATTGGCCACATTTGAACTTTTTGACTAGATACATGAAGACAGAAGTGAGAGAAACTACAATGTCATTTTTATAGTTATTGTTCTGAGTTAACACTTGAAAGGATTGCAGTACTAACATGCCATAACTTAAATTTCAGTAAGGGGCAAAACATGCATTGAAATAGGTAATGTTAGAGAATGCATCAAAATACTTTTTTAAGGAAGTCTGAGCTTGACACAGTAATTCATTAAATACATTAAAAATAGTTTCAGTATTACTTAAAATTCAGTCAAGCCACACTAATAATTCTTATCTGCTCTTATCATCTCAAAACAAACAAACAAGAAAAAAAAAAAAACACACATGAATGGCAAGTGGCCAAAAGAGTAAGATTTTATGTGATACCTACATCTTGTGCAAATATTCTCTCTCTAGCTCTTTGATATTCTTCTTCACGTTCTTCTATGGATTTACTTCTTCTGTCATCTTTTAATCGCATTCTCATCTAAATTAAGTGACACAGTGTCAACTTCTAGAGGAAAATAGTATAAATATACAGTCAAACATATTCAGTTGAAGGGGAAAATAATCTGTAAGTATTTACCTGGTTGTCATCTTTGTCTAAACTAGAGTTATCTCTTTTAAGGATGTACCGTTTCTGAAAATCATCACTCTTCTCATCCTTTATATGCTCAGAAAACTTTTGGTCAGGTCTACAAAAAGTCATTAGAAAGAAAAGACTTATGGATTTGTAAATGTATACTATACATAGTGGAACCAAGTGATGCATGATGGATCAGTGATGCATATATTCAGTATTCTAACTGAAGTGACAAATTTTGACAACAGTCTGTTGCCCCAGCAATGGAAACGGTATCAAAAAATATAAGATGTTCTGTGCAGTTGACAATTCCTGTTCCTGAGGCATAACAAACCTGCTTTTAAAATCTCTTCCTTCAAAGGTTTTGCATCAAATTCCAATTAAGGTGCCAAGCAATCACATGCCCTGAGGGACAGAGAAGTACTCTTGAATCCAGACTTGTGCTGTGCAAGAAACATTGGCCATGCATGGAAATGATGATTGGTGCTTTCTGCTAGAGCTGTAATAACTCCAAATTCATTTAAAAGGAAAACAAAAGATAAGGACATACATGTAGGAGAAAGCTTTAAAATTTACAAACTTTTAAAACAAAGATAAAGTAGAAATACGCAAGAGAAGAATGACAGGGATGCTCACAAGCAAGAACTTCAGAATACAACAGTGAAAGGATTAAGCAACAGATTATAAACAGTCTTGGTATTTTATCTACTTTGTGAAAGAGTAACGAGATTTTGCAAACTATTGTTATCAAAACTGGATACCAACTACCTAGACAATAAAATGACTAGTATGATATGAGATGTTCAGACAAATCAGAAATCATTTGCCCGGTAAAACACATGGCATACATATGACCTCTATTTCTGTTCACTTAGTACTCAGGGCACTTATAAAAATCAGGAGAACTTTTTCTGTTAAACAGCCAAACCTAACTACCAGTTACTGGATGCCCAGACATAATTAGCAGGCATTTCAGAGAACCTTTAGACTCTCTTACCTCTTTCTTTTAAAGGTCCCTGAATTTACTGCCCTGCAATCACCAACTTCCCACTCCACTGAGGCGTCCCAGTATGCACTGGGTTGTTGATGTCAGTAACATCACTGAGCGGCGCTGGAGCCGGGAATCTGCCTATGAGGAAAAGGTAAGTTTGGTTTTATTCAGCATGGAGCAGATCTCCAAGGTTTTCTTTCCAAATTCTTATTTTATATCCAAAGTGATTTAAAATAAGAATACTGAAAACATTAAGAATCCTAATGTCTACAGGTTAGATGAAATGCCTGCTAATTAGTAACTACAACTATAGGGGGCTTCCAGAGGCCCTGGGATTTTAACTACATTAGATTAAAAAAATATGTTTTTTTTTTTTAAATAATTTTTATTCCACGCTTGAAGTGATAGACTGAAAGCTTCAGACTTAGAATTTCACACACAGAATTTATAATCAAAGTGAAAAAAATGCATATTTAATGTATATTCAAACTCTGTATAGCTTTCTGAAACATTCTGAGGAGGAACGTATTACTTAAGTGAAGTTCCAGTGGGACATGTTAGCTCTACTGACTCCAAAATTGAGGCAGATAATTAGATTCTGTTCTCCAAAATTCAGTCAGAATCTATATATGGACAGTAATGAGGATGGAGGAGCCGTGTACTATACCTGTGCTCAAATTATAGAATAATTAAAGAACGGTGTCATGCAAACTCAGAACTAGAAACTAGGTGCTAAAATCTTAAATATGCCAACACATTACTTCTTCGTATTTCTGAAAGAGAACCGGAGAGTACAAAAGCAGAGGACAGAGAACAGGCAGGTCCTGTTAATGAAACACGTCAGCTGTGCCCGGAATTTGTAGACGCCAGGAATCCAGTGGTACCTTTGGTAATAGGGATTTTCCTAGAGGTTTCACCAAGAACTTTCCAGCCCTCAGTCAAGTAGCAGGCCATCACTTGCTAACCTTGTGTATACTTGCACTGATGAGACATGGCTTCCCTGCTACATTTACTTTGTAAGGCAGTGTGGTATCTATAAGCAACATTATTTTGTCAATGTGTTTTCCATGTCCAACTTTTCCCAATAGCTCCTTACAGTACAAAATGTTCTATGGATCTTGCTCCCTCCCCTCACCCTATTGTAAACTGTCCTGTTCTACATTGTCCAAATATTCCAACTGTTTTCCAAAGGAAGAGAGGATTGCACTCAAAGCTGGATGTAAATCTTGAAAGAGATAAATAATATACAAAAAAAAACGTATTTTATGAGAACACAGTTTGTAATACTTTTCTGCATGAAAGCCACCACCACCAAAAAAAAAGTCTTAGTTTACAGATAACATTCTTCTTTCAAATGCTTTAAACATGAGCAGATCACATCATTGCACACCACTAGACCCCAAGCTGTGAAGACCTTGCAATCACCCCACCTTGTTGCCCGGCTCCCAATGACTAAATATATTCCTACAGATGCAGCATCATTGCTTAAGAAATCCCAGATGCTAAATCCATGCACCAAAAACAATTATTTTCAAGATTCTTTACACTTACATTCTTGTATTGCTAGTTTTATTTACTATGACTGATTTCCCACTCTGGTCCACGTTGTGCTCTAATCCAAAGTAAGCAGCTACCCTGTGCAACAGCATTCTATGGTAAGATGTCATTGGGGGAAACTTTTTTCTTGGAACTCTGGAAGAAAGGAATAGTAGCTTTATTAAACAGGAACAGTCTCTTTTTTTTTCTTCCTATAAGAGTACAGTACTTACTCATTATTACCAATGAAATCTAAAATTTCCTGTTCTAATTTCAGCAGCATCATTCTGTCCCTGAAAATAAAAACACAGCAACTCACATATGAGACACACCAATAACTGCAGCTGTATTCATCTTAAGAATACACAGTCAACATCTGTGATCAATGGATGACAGCAGATCACAAACAAGGCCACCAAGTACCAATTTTTTGTTGTTTTTTTTGTTTGCTTATTTTGTTTTAAAGAAAAAATAATGCATTTTTCACTAAGCTATATTTTACTGAGCCTGCCTAGTGAGGAAGCTGTTCCTCCATGTAATCTCTGTTGAATGACTTTAGTACAAGTAGAAGTCATGGAGAAGATGGTATCAAGAAGAAAGGAAAAAAATGTTCATTTGTCATTTTGATCAACATGGGTAGCAAGACTCTCAGATAGGCCTCAACTGGCCCTTCAGTTGTGAATTGGGGCATTGGAATTATTGATACCAAGAAGGACTGGATTACAGAGAATGGAAAGGTTGCACATATCTACAACTAGGGAAGAGGGGAATTCAAGGGAATTCTAGGGAATTGAAACAAACATAAGCTAAATCATCATACAATAGAAATTCTAAAAATGTTTATGCCCATTTCAGTAGACTATTAAAACGTAATGAAATTAATTTTCACAGTTCATAATCTGTGTATGGCAGATAACTAAGCTTCCAGGTACTGGGTATGTAAAACCACAGCAAACTTTCAATTGCAATTTTTCATTTTCACTGGGATGTTTTATGACTTCAAACAGGGCCAGTAAGAATCTAACGGGAACTGTGCTTTAGCTTTGTAGGACGCAACAGTGTGGGACCCTTATGACTGACCCTTTCATATTATTTGGTTGACAATGTGGAATCTCAATACATTATTGTACTGGAAATCATAATGGAAGTAACACATCGAAGTGGAATTAGTCTTTGCAATAGCAATACAATTCCACAGAGTTTTTGTCTTGTATGTACATCCACAGTACTAGTATCAATTCCTACTGAGGAAAAGGGTAAAGAAAATAGAGAGCAGCATACTTCCAATCTCAAAGCAAGAGAACCACGTCAACTATATTACTAAAAGAAATAACAGACTTGAGTTGGGTCAGATTTGGTTGCTGATATGCAAAGCAAAGACGTTTATCTCCAAAAAAAGAGTTACACGGTTCAGGTTAAAACAAGTTCTTCTGTAAATTTAGCAAAAGGCAGAAGAAAACAAAAGACAGTTTGGTCTCTAACAAGTAAATACTAAAAAATGCAAATTTTAGAGACACAGTATTATTAGCACCCCGGGACAGACTACTGCACACAGACAGAACGCATTGTTTGCTCATTAAACATGAAAAGCATTTAAACCATGCCAGTGCACTGAATCTCTGCTCCTATAATACACATGATACAAAGGACTGGTGTTTCTGAGAGCCTACACACCAAAATGTCATCCTAAATAACATGCAGTGTTACATAATTAAGGGCTGAGAAAGGAGGTGTTATACTTCTAACAACAAGAAAGAAAAACAGAGAATTAAGTTCTTTCACACTCACCTGGGATTGTTTTTTAATGTATTTACTAAAAATTCATGAAGATCTATGCCCGTGGAATCTGTGTATTCTTGGCTGGAATCTAAGTGTGGTGAGGAAGAGCACAATTACTTTTTTCAAAATGTATTAATACCTTCCCACAACTTATTGCTGAAAATCATCATATTTGTCAAAACTGCCCAAATATTAGGCATATGATTCCCAATATTAAACAGTTCCACTTTTCCAGAGAAAAGGCTCAAGCAAATACCCAGTCCCACAACTGCTTCCTCAAGTACCACAATTTAACATGTAACACAGAACAAAGACCTCAATAATGCCACGAATCTATTAACAAATAGCTCCATTTATACACTATACACTACTTGGCTATGCTGACACAAGTAAAACGCAGATGCACAACTGATCTTCTATTTATCAGCTCAGACTATCATTTATTCACACACATGAGAGATTTTGTGGATTGACAGGCAAAGACTCATGCAGTAAGATGCACAAAACATAGAAATGAACTTTAGTCTTGAGAAAATGCTACATTTTTATTTCTGCAGTAATTCTGAAGAATTTCCCTCAAAGTTACTCAAGTTTGAGTATGGAATTCTAGATAGATTTATAATTAGATCTTAAAACCAGAATAATAGATGGCAAACCTCTCGATAACATTTTTCTGGGTAGTTTATCACTTGACTTTTCCTTTTCTGTTTCATCTTTTGCAGGCTTTTCTTCTTTCTCAAAAGACTGTGATAACTGGATTTGGATTTTCTCCTGTCAAAAAGCAAAAATTAGTCATCATGGAAGTTATTTTGAACTATATACACCACCATGAGAACCATTTTGTACTCTTTGTGCATACTTAAGTAGCAGCAATTAAAATAACCGCGTTCATATTCATTATAATCACGCATGCACTTTATGCAAACACAAATTAAACTACTGATGAATCAAAAAATCTATAAAGACAAGTTGTACACATCATCTATTTTTTTAACATAAACCTCACCCTCCATGTTTTTTCTTAATATCAAGGAAAAATATATATTAAAAAGAGGTTTTAAATCTACTTAAGACAGAGCAACAATCCAAATTTCACTAAAAAGAGAAACGTGAAATTTCAAAATATAAAGACAGAATTAACAAACCATATCATTATCAAGGCTTAGATTGTTAAATTGCTGCATGTTTCAAAGTAGCTTTATGTGCAACCATTTCAAAATCTGTATTTTTATACAATTAGACAATTATTGTGGAAGGTATTTTTCATGTACAGCAGTTTTCCTTTTTAACTAAAATGAACAGTTGTCCCCTAATTATGGGAAAGGGGATTTTTTTTTAATGTTAGTGAAGGCCACACTATTTGAATAACAAGAGCAGATAATGTAGAATTCTGTGAGATGCTGAGAGGAAGAGCAGGAAAATCACACGCTTGGAGAGGACTCCCCCTTCTTCCTACACTAACACTCCCTGAATGGCTTCTGGGGCAGCAGAATTGACACCAAGAGAGTTTATGCTCCCTCCTCCACTTCCTTAGAGCATCCACCCCTTCCCAACCCATGCAGCCTGACCCAAATCTATTTTTCCCTTCCACTCTTCTTCCATCCTGCACCCAAATCCTTTCCCATTCCAAGTCCTTACTCTTCCTTCAAACCCATTTTTCCCCATGTTGTTGCTATTTTTATTTATGATTTTGCTAAAGCCTTCTTGTTCACATAGCCAGCTACCTGCTGTAAAACTATTCCTAACTAATATCTCTCATACTACAGAATTGGTCTTTTTCCACGAAAGCTGTCTAGAATTAAATGTGATCAGGCTCCACCAAGGCAAAGGAACCCTTCATCTTGGCACAGCCTGTGCTCAGGCTCCTGCCCTAGCAAACCACATTGCTCTCTACCCTGGTCCTTTCTGTGGACAACAGGAATTCTACACTTAAATGATAGTGTCAAATTTTGTTTTTGGAGAGAACTATTTTAACATTAAACTGAGTAAACAAACTGGGTGCTAGTTTTATCAAATCCCATTTTTATCATTGCCTATTAAAATATTTAATTTCAAATTTTAAACTAATTAATACACATATATCCTGCAAACTCGCATTAGAAATACAAGTTAATCAGTCTTTCTGTAGTTTTCTACACCTTATCCTAGCAGAATCTGTTACCAATCATTAAAAATAACCTCTTCTGTAACACTGTTTGCCAGTCACGAGAATTCTCTTCGCTTCCAAAATAAAAACTTTGTATTTCTCAATGTACTTTAAACCCAAATATAATGCAAATAAGCAACGTGCTTCTCACCGATAACTGCATTACACTTCAACTGTTCTCCCACTAGGTACCTAACTGTTTGTTATTTAAGAAAAGAAAATCAACTACAAAAAAAACATGGCCTACATCTTTAGAAACTATTTCCAACTCAGATCCACCAATATAGCAAGGAATTTACTTCATCAGTAATGACAAGGATAATTTTCAAACTGTGACTATTTGTCTTCATTAGAAATTTGATCCAACTGTACTAAGCTCATCCAAAGTAAAAACATGAGGCAACACTTAAGTCATACTTAAAATTACAATGAAAAATGTCTTTATATTTCTTTCCCCAACAGAAGCAGGAAAAAAATCAGCGATGTTGTAAAACAATTCTGCTACTAGCACCAATTCTATTTCAAAGTGTGATACAGAATAGTATAACAAATGCTGCTTCTTATGATTTCATGGTATAAAAACTGCAACATCTAATTAGATTTTTCTGTAGCTTTGCAGTCATGCATCAAGTAGGTCATATTTTTCCTTCCATCTTTTAATCCTTCCCTAGTGATAGCTAGCCTCTACTAGCATATGGATTTAACTGAATCTTCACAACAACCTTCCTACCTAAAATCCTCATTCCTTTGTCTTTTAATGCAGGTCTCCAAAACATTGTCTTCAGTGCTAATAACAAGCCTTGGTTTCCCCGACTAGAGGATATCATCATTATCAGAGTACTCATCGCCACATTTTGCTTCTTACAAGTTGTCACCTATTTCACCCTGGACATGGATATATTCCTAAAGATCACACTTTGGTAAAATGGATGGTTATTTTAATGAACA